CGCTATTTAACCGCCCGTGAGGCATCGCGACGGCCATTTTGTCCCAGCAGCGGTAGGAGCAGGTTGGTCCCACTTTCTTTTCGGCCTAAGGGGGATATGAGGGGAGTTCGGGGGGTGCAGTGGTTTCTATAATTGCATTCCCTCTCCCCTCATTGATGGGGAGCAGCCTGGAACCCCTTTAGGCGCCGTTCCCCTCACGGTGCAGCCGCTGTGTCCCTCCCTGAGCGGTTCCATGAGGCGGCCGCGCCTTCCCCAGGGGCTGCTCGGGGATGAGTCTCTCACAGACCTGTGCTGATGGCGCGGTGAAGAATTTATAATATTCTCTGAGGGCTTGTCCTGCCCCGTCCCGAGGGTTGGATGTCTCGTATCATCGTATTTTGTGATTCTAACACACGTTTCTTTTGTTTCCTTTTTAGCGCTTTTATCTGCGAAATGCTGCTTTTGTGTGAGGTGAGTCCTTTAAGGTTTAATAAAGTGAATTTTAGGGCAGCAGTGCTGCGGGGATGATCACCCTGAACTCTCTCTTGCTGATGGGTCAGTGGAGAAGCTTCTGGAATAATCTGAGTGGCACTGACCCATGCGGGGGCTCCAGGTTCCTTTGTCAGGGTTTAGGACCTTCATGAAATAAATAATAAATCAGACCCACGTGGGAAGGAGTTAAATCTTTTTGTGCCGCTTAAACCACGTGTGGAGATTCATATAATCGTCCAGACTTTTAAAGCCTCGTAAAATTTTAATTTTAATTTTTTATAAAGGTGCGATTTGTTTAAATATAAATTTTAATAGGTTTTGTTTTGTTTTGTTTTTAAGGCATGAGCGAGCTGTGAGGGCTCAGGTGAGTCTGAGGCTTTTGGGGTTTAAAAAGGGGATTTTGGGGTTTTTTTATGGGGTCCCCTCTGCCGAGGATGACGCGATACCGCCCCAGACTGAGCCCTGTGATTGATCGGTTCCCCCTGAGGCTCTATGGGGACCCCTGGGGGGTTTGAGGGGTCACAAAGAAGAATTTTTGGGGTCTCTGTGTAAATCTTGGGTTGAGGGAGATTTTTAGGGGATTAACAAGCGTTTCAAAACTCTTAAATTCTTTTTAAGTTCAATTTACCAGCTCTTAGATCATGGAATCTTCACCCACGTGTTCCCCGTGGCCCCTCCCCAGGTGAGCCCTTCTTTTTTTGGGTAAAAATTTGGAATTTTTTCTTTTCTAAGAGTCCCTCGAGGTGCAGATTTTGGGGTTCCCCCGCGTTTGTGGCTGTTCGGTGAGGAGTGACAATGACAAGCATATGGCTGAGGCTCCCTGATGCCACTTTGTTACTGAGAGCAGCTACTAATTAACTAATTATTACTAATTTAATTATAGGATTTTAATTGAATAAACTTGATTAATTTGTGTTTTGCAGTGTTAAGAAGTTAAAAGGATCTCGGGCCATAATGAAATGACCACGGTGACCCCACCTTAGGTAAGAGCCCCCTCTAAACCCCCCAAATTTAAAGCAATCACTGTGGGGCCACACAATTAACTAAATCATAGAAATCTAATTAAATAAGCACCATTAATTTGTATTTTA